AAATGGCTCGAGAGGTGGCTCGAGAGGAAGAGAGGGAGAGGGAGAGAAAGAGAGGGAGAGGAGAAAGAGAAGGGAGGGAGAGGAAGAAGGTCGGCGTCGCAGCTCCCCGCCCCGCCGTCGTCGCAGCTCCCGCCGCCGCCTCTGCTTCCTCCTCCGTCGCAGCCCCGCCGATGTCACAGCACCACCGTCGTCTGCCCAGCCTCCCCTCCTCCTCAAACCGGTTTTTATGGCCCCCTTCCCTCCCTCCTCCTCCTCCTCCTCCTCCTCCTCCCTTATCTTCTTCTTCCTTCTTCTTCTTCTTCTTTTTCGTTCTGCAAAACCATGGAAGAAAGAAAGAAAAAAAAACAAAATCGACGCCAAAACGACATCGTTTTGGTGTCGAGCCGCGACATTCGAGCTACGTAGCATGATCATTACTACAAATCGTTGACCCGTGCAATACATATGTTATTTTAAATAAATAAAAAAATATTTCATGGTACAATATGTGTTATAAAAGAATAATTTTAATTTTAATTTAAAATTAAAATTAAAATTAAAGTATGATTTTAATTATTTGTTTTGATAATATTGGCTATATCCTTTTATAAAATTGTTACTTGAGTACTTATATATATATATATATATATATATATATTAATTTTAGTTAAATTATTTGTGTATTTTGATAATTTTAGTTATATCGTATTATAAAAGTATAATTATAATACAATAATTTTGTATAATATACATATATCAAATTATAAGATAGTAAAATAAATACTCGTTTTGATATTAAAAATAATAGTTAAATTAGAAGAAGAATTAGTACTATAAAATTAAAAGTAATTCTAACTATTTAATTTTCTTTTATATTTATGTAAAAATAGAAACTACATAAAATTTATTGAAAAAATTAAATATAATATATTGTAGTTGAATTATCATATAATGATTTTATATGATATATATCAAATTATAAGATTGTAAAATAAACACTCTTAATTAAATTAAAATATCAACTATATAAAATAAATTCAACACCAACTAACCAAGAAAGAATCTCATAACAATATCTAAACCCAAAAAGAAAAAATACATGAAAACATCCATACATCTCACAATGTAAAATGATTAATCATCTATAATATGATGTAAAAATACAGAAGAACTTACAATTCAGCAATTAAAAAAGAAACTCAAGCAGTAAATCCAAATTTCAAAGATTCTTCGAGATTGTTATGCAGATTTTTTCTCTTGTGAGTTGTGATTATATAAAATAATGTAGGAAAAATATTGTACAATCAAAATATAATCCATATAGAAGTTGTAGTTAGATTTCATGTAAAACTCAAATTAGGTTTGTGAAAGAAGATTTCTCATATAGAATTAGTATTGGGTTTGTGGATTATCTAAATTTATGATAGAAAACCTATGGGAAAAAAATATTTCTCAAATAGAGTCCAAGCATAATTTAAATTGAGTTTGAACTTGTGTAGAACTCTATATTTAAATGGGAAATGCATGCTGATGGCTCTCTTAAAAAAAAGTAAGCTCTTATAATGTGTCACTTAAGCATGGAAAAAAACACTATTTTAATAATATATATATATGATTATATGCCAATTTGTCATCGAGTCTCACAATTCATCAATTTTTACAGCATTTGTCAATCATCTCTAAATATGGGACTTAACAAAGCTCATGATCTCCTTAAGAAAAGTGCAACTGAAATGTAAATTCCCTTACCCTAACCCTTCATGCTGGCCTGGGGCTAGAACCGAAGCGTAATTTTTATTCCCTTCGTCTCGAGATATAAAAATCTGTAGTAAAAATAATTAAATAAAATCAAACACAACATTCTAGTAAAAAAGTAAATATTTACATGAAAAAAATTCAGTATGTTCTTTACAAAATAAAACAATAACATCTCAAACACCTCTTGAAATATAAACCATGTGTATAGTTTGTGCCATTGGCATTACAAACATGAACCAATAGATCACTCAACACCAATAATGTATTATAACAGATTATTAACATATTATATTTCCTAGAGCTGAATAAAAAACATCTAGCAGATGATGAGTTGGAGAGCAGAGCATTACAGAGAACTGATTGGCCATGATAGGAGAAGTGTCACATGTACCGGGAATAATTTGCCAATGCCTGAACTCTCCTCTAAAACCTCTTGATATGCTGCCACTCCTGCAACATCAAAAGGATTTGACCCTTATCAAGTGCATAGAAATATTACAGAAACTAGTGGGGTGGCACTCACTACCTGAGTGCAAGTGCCACAAAGAACCACTAATTAGCCACTTTTTGAACAGTAGTGCATAGAGAGAGAGAGAGAGAGAGGTGTACTAAGTAGCCTCTTAATTAGGAAGGGGAATTTTTAAAACTAACTGGAAGTTCTAGTCAGTTGTGGGGAGTTCTTTAAAATAATGTGTTTACTTAAACATTTACCCTTAAATGAATATAGAAGTAAAAGGATTTTAATAATGCATAATTTAATTTTCTTTGGATAGTTTAGGGAAATGAAAAATACACACAAAATTAGTGTTCTACTTTTATGTATTAGCAAAAGATGACATACTTGACAACTGAACCAGTGCTTACCCCATTCCTCCAAGTGGGACACCTTGGGATGCTGATGGCTTGCAACTCTCTCGATTGAAAGGATTAATTGGTGCTGTCTGCACATATTAAGTGAGTAGCAATTAAATCTAAAGAAAAAGGTCCAACAAAAAACTACGTCAAAGTCCAATTATTTATTTATTTTTTTATTGGCACTGGGGTGTCCGGAATCAAAGTCCAATTAATTTTCAACATAGGAAACTAGTTGTTAGGGTCATTATTGAATACTAAAAAGTAGCTATAGGGAAAAATTAAAATGAGTTGAAGAAGAATAAAGTTGAGAGAGTTACCCTTCCATGGGAAGCCTCTTCCTGCTGTCTGCACATATTAAGTGAGTAGCAATTCAATCTAAAGAAAAGTGTCCAACAAAAAACTACGTCAAAGTCCAATTATTTTATTTTTTTTTATTGGGGCTGGGGTGTCTGGAATCAAAGTCCAATTAATTTTCAACATAGGAAACTAGTTGTTAGGGTCATTATTGAATACTAAAAAGTAGCTATAGGGAAAAATTAAAACGAGTTGAAGAAGAATAAAGTTGAGAGAGTTACCCTTCCATGGGAAGCCTCTTCCCTTACATAGGACCACATACGTATACCAAGTCGAACCTAAGTTCAAAATTCAAGACATGAACCACAAAATGAGAACTAGTGAACGATAATGCATAACTTATGATACACAGGACCTATATGTCTTTTCTGCCTGCAAATATGATTGTTTATAGATAAAGGATGTTTACCAATTTAATTGCTTCCATAAATGTAACACTAAATTCTTTAAGAATAGTAGCATGGCTGTTTAATCTCCTTCTCCAAGCTTGTTCTGGTGGGGCAGCACTATCAAAATCAAGCTTCAAGTGAAGTTTAAGAAAAGACAATCAGGACAATTGAAGTAAAAACGAAACTAAAGCTATTAAAAGTACAAATGATGATAATATATGTGCATCAATATGAAGTGCATAACTAAAGCTATGGCTGTTTAATCTCCTTCTCCAAGCTTGTTCTGGTGGAGCAGCACTATCAAAATCAAGCTTCAAGTGAAGTTTAAGAAAAGAACGAAACTAAAGCTATTGTCAATCTTCTGGATATCTGTAGAATATATTTAACAAGTTATCTATAATCTATAATCCAAAACAACAATAATTGACATTCCAAACTCATTCAGCCTTTATTTTGGGCTCAAATATAGTCAGGAATGTGATCAACAAGTACACAAACTTCCTTGAAACAAAAAAAATAAATAAATAAACCAAGTACATTGATGAACAAAAGATATTGTTCCAGTAACTAAAGTAAACTCTGAAGTAAAGATTAAATTGTCACAAATATCTTTTCCAAACAATAAGATTAAGGAGCTTTTATGCAACATTTCCAAAGGAAAGAGAAAATCCTTCTTAGCATATATCTCAAGGTAGATAATAAGATTAACTTTACAAAATCCAAGATTTACCAAGATTAGTTTTGAAATATGCCATCCTAGGAGTATCTGACCTCACAAATCAATAACTCAAAACATTAACCAATAACCTGTATTCCATTTACAACATACAATAGAAACAGTTCCTGACCAATACATGAAAACAAAAGTAAAACCAAGAATTCAGTTCAAATGATTTCAACTTCTCCTATCACAAACTCTAGCAAGACTAAAAATTTTGGGCAAGAATGTTTTTCAACAAAGAACTGATTAAATTTTCATAGCCAAAAAATTAAAAAAAAAGAACACCATCCTATTCATTTCCGCATCGAGAGTATTCTTTGTTTTAGTTAATCATAATAGTTCCAATCCAGGGAGGAAAAAAAAAAAACATCAACCCCAAACCATAAAACACAGCCCTTAAATTGAAACGATCAACTTATATATATATATATATATATGCATGTGTGTGTGTGTATGTGAACAAGCTCAAAGCTATTGAAATCCTTACCAACTGTAAAGTCGATCGGCTGATATATTCCTCTGGTGGCCAAGAATTCTTCCTACAATGAAATATATTTCCGGTAACCATGTCGATCAACTACTCTATATTTGTATAATTAACTTCCAAATCTTCAAAACCCCTAATCAAATTCCTCTGTATATACACAGCCACACAAACACACACACACATATATATAGACTACTCAGATGTGTGCCTTCAGCTTCAAACAATGATCAAATTTCACTCCAAACCCAAATTTAAACTTCAATCCTCGTAAAAACAAAGCTTCAAAGCTAAAGCTTCCTCCTAAACTCTCTTTCTCTCTCTACCTCTAAGACTGCGATCCTTTTAACCAAATCCACCAAAGCTTCAACAACCCAAAAAGCTGGTTAGGGTTTGAGCGGCACCGATCAGGTGAATCGCAGCAGACTCAAGAATGAGCACACCGACATGGAAAAAAATAGGATCGAATTTCTCCGGATTTGGATTATTATAAAAAGTAAAAAGGAAATAAGAGAATTTTGATTTGGGTTTGTGAAGTGGTTCAATGCTGTGTGTCTCCTGAATGGTGAACAGTAACGATGAGAGAGAGATAGAGAGAGTTTGGCGTAGCGTGGCGAGCAGAGATGAGCCGAGTGGTGAATGAGGCTCTGTGAAATTGGGCTGTGAGATCGCCAGGTGTTCGCAAGCTTACATACACGTATGACTCACAGGATTCTCTCTCTCCCTCTCTCTCTGTTTTTGGGAACTTTCTCTCTCTAAATCTACTGCTATATATACAGGTAGATGATTCCCTACAGTTTTTTTTCTCTCACTGCATATGTATAGGTGATATGATATATGCAGAGAGAAAGAGCGTCTCTCACTATACATGTATAGGTGATATGATATATGTAGAGAGAAAGAGCGTTATTACTACTGTTTACTATTTATTTATGTAGAGAGAGAGAGACAGAGAGAGAGAGAGAGAGGTGGGCTATTGTGAGTCAGGCTCATCTTTATTGACGCCTGGCCTGAGCAAGCGCTGCTAGTAATCTCTCCTTGGAAAATTAGGCTTCGTTTGGAATAGGTTAATTTAGGCTTTGTTTGAGAATTCTCTTTTTTAATTAAAAAGTCAAAAAATTATTAAATTAATCAAAAAATTAATAATTTATATCAAAAAGTCAAATATTTTCTTTTCTCTCTACTTTTTGCATATCTTTTCGTAAAAAGTTAAAAAATCATTTCAAACATACTAGTTTTTTTTAGCTCGTATTTTAACTAAATAGCCAAAAAGTTACTAAATTAGTCTGTTCCCAAACGAGGTCTAATAACTTTTTAGTTATTTAAGGATTGGTTTGGGATGTTTTAAAAAAGTGTACTTTTTGACTTATTGGCTTATATGGGTTGAGTTTGGGTTTGGGTTGGGTTTGATGTGATGTATTAGAGAGGTGATGTGATTTAAATAAGATGATGTGACTTAAATAAGATAGTGACTTTTTGACTTTTTGTATTATTTAGTAGATGCCAAACTTGGCCTTAAAAAAACTTTTTGACTTTTTATGAAAAGATGTACAAAAATAAGAGAGAAAAGAGAATCTTTGACTTTTTGGTATAGGTTGTTGGCTTTTTGGCACATACACGTATGACTCACAGGATTCTCTCTCTCCCTCTCTCTCTGTTTTTGGGAACTTTCTCTCTCTAAATCTACTGCTATATACAGGTAGATGATTCCCTACAGTTTTTTTTCTCTCACTGTGTATGTATAGGTGATATGATATATGCAGAGAGAAAGAGCGTCTCTCACTATACATGTATAGGTGATATGATATATGTAGAGAGAAAGAGCGTTATTACTACTGTTTACTATTTATTTATGTAGAGAGAGAGAGACAGAGAGAGAGAGAGAGAGGTGGGCTATTGTGAGTCAGGCTCATCTTTATTGACGCCTGGCCTGAGCAAGCGCTGCTAGTAATCTCTCCTTGGAAAATTAGACGTGTTTTGGAAACAGGTTAATTTAGGCCCCGTTTGATAACTCTATTTTTTAGTTAAAAAATCAAAAAATTATTAAATTAATTAAAAAATCAATAACTTATATAAAAAAAGTTAAAGATTTTCTTTTTTCTATATTTTTTGTATATCTTTTCGTAAAAAGTCAAAAAGTCATTCCAAACATATTAATTTTTTTTAACTCATATTTTAACCAAATAACCAAAAAGTTACTAAATTAGTCTCCCCAGACGAGGCCTAGTAACTTTTTAGTTATTTAGTTAAAATATGAGTTAAAAAAACTTTTTGACTTTTTATGAAAAGATGTATAAAAAATAGAGAGAAAATAGAATTTTTGACTTTTTAGTATAGGTTGTTGGCTTTTTTGGCTAATTAGTAACTTTTTGACTTTTTGGCTAAAAGGGATGGTTCCCAAACGAATCCTAAGCCTCCGTTTAGGAAATGGGTTAGCTTTTTGGCTTTTTAACTTTTTTGGCTATTTTAGTCTGGGCTAAAAAGTTTAGTTTGGAAAAGACTTTTTAGTTTTTTTTGACTTTTTTGACTTTTTTGTGAGAGAATAGTGTAATGACTTATGGGTTGAATGTGATGTTTTGTTTGTTGTGACTAAAATAGCCTAGTTTGTCTTTTGCGACTAAAATAGCCCAAAAAACTCTTGCCAAACGGAGCCTAAGGGGGTGTTTGGCAACCCAACTTTGACTGGTAATAAAAGTAAAAATAATTAAAATAATCACTAAAAAATTAAAAAAATTAAATAATCAACAATATAAAATGTCACTTCTTATGCATTATTAATCTTTTTTTTTACAATCATCTATTTTATTACAAAAAAAAAAAGAAGTGCAAATCAATTAAAAAAATTAATTAAATTAATCAAGTTTCTAGACGAGTTTAATTTGATTTTTATCAGTTTGTTTAGATCATGTTTGGTTGGTTGAATTTAAAGTGATTCTATTTGAAGTGATAATTGAATATATAAAAGTTGATTTGGAAAGTGCTTTTCATTAATAATTTTATAATTAAAATATAAAGGTGAAAAAAAATTAAAGTGTTTGGTAATCATATTTTTGACTTTTTATAAAATATATATATATATATAATAAAAATAAATCTTTAATTTTGTTTGTATGATTTTTTTGGCTTTTTAATTTTTTATGTTTTTAGTGATTTTTTAATTTTGTTTTTTAGCCTTTTTTTACTTTTTTGGGTCATATTATTTATTTTTATTTTTTTACATAAAAAAGTTTAAAAAATTTAAAAAGTTAAAAAGCTAACTTTTTACCATCTTTCTAAAACACCACACAGAAAATAACTTTGTTAGTTTTTATTAAAAAATGATAAAATAATCTTTTAATCATCTACATATGGTGTGGGACTGATAATCTATACGTCCATGGATGTTAATTCCATCATGAGATGAATCATAGTCCTATGAAACTGCCAATCCCATGAATTTTTCTATAAACAAAAATACAGGCTAAATTAGATCTTGGATTAATATCACTCCCCAAATTTCAAGCAAACATATAATAGGAAAATGATATGACAAACGTCATAAATTGAATGATATTTTCTTATTGTGAAGTCTTTTTCTTTTTTTTGTAGGATTATCATCTTTTCTATTACATAGATGCTACTTGCTGGGGATGCAAATACGAGGTTTTTTAATTTTACATAAATTTTTAAATGATAAATTATTAATAGTTCTTAATAGTTGAATTTAATTTCTATCAAGTTTTATGAGAAATAAGTCATAGTAAAATTATCGTTAAAAATATTTTTTTATGACGATTTTTTGTATGTGTCACTAAAAATTGATAATTTTTTTAAACTATCGCTAAATTTATAATTAGTGATTTTTTTGTGACAAAATTTTCAAACTGTCGCTAAAAATTAAAAATTAGTGATATTTTTTGTGTTTGATGAAAATGCCATTAATTCTCATAAGACCTATTAAATAATAAATTCACATATTATGACTTATACGTAGGTCCTCAATTTTAAAATGGTTTTACAATGAGAAAGATTAATCGAATTTGAAAACTATTTAGCATTAAACTAACTAAATTATAATTTTATATTATTTATTCTGCTATTCAATTGAACAATAAGATAAATAATGCGAAAATATATATATAAAATAATAGAATCTATAATTTTAGATTCATTTTTTACTCTATCATTTTTGTTTAAAATCATTTTCCTTATTTAGAGTCGACCATAGGCTCTAAACTTTTTGCTCCAATCAAACACTCAATCGAAATTTGCACTAATCATATTATATGATTGGTATTTGTTTTATAGAATTTTACTATTAATGTTTACTTAGTTAAAATGTAGACTTCATTAAATTTCTTAGTTAGCACCGTATAAAATATCACAACAAGTAATGTTAAAATGTTACTATCAAAATAACATTTTGGTCACTATTGTTTTCATAGTTAAACATAACACTAACCATGTCATATTAGGTGTTCCACTAAACTTTTTATCAAACTTTCATTAATCTTTTTTTTTTTTTTAAATTCCCTTATTATCCCAAATGTTCCTTTCCATCAAATTTGATACGGAAAAAGAAATCATGTCCAATGTTTCATCTTTTTAAATTTTCATCAAATTCAAATTTGACTAAAAAAAAAGAAAAATGTTTGAGGGCCACAATTTTTGTGGCTCAAATGGCTTGAAATTGCCAAAACGACGTCGTTTTGGCAATTTCGAAGTTGTTTTGTACTCAAAACGACGTCGTTTTGACAATTTCAAGCCATTTGAGCCACAAAAATTGTGGCCCTCAACCATTGCCGAAAAAAAAAATGTGAAGGATTGTAGATGGTTTTACTTGGCTCACTTTGATAATTTTATTTGTTTATTATTTTGATATGATAATAATGAGCATATGATTTCAGTATAATTTTTTTTAATTCTTTTAAACTACGGTTCAATTGTGTGAATAAAATGATTTGGGGACAATTTCCTGGATTTGAGCCTTCTGACAAAATAAATATTGAACTTTTAATTTTGTCAATTTAGATCATAATTTTTTTTATTTGATTTCAATATAAATCGTTCGCCTATTTTTGTTAAGTAAAACTCACGAAAAATAATATTTTAGTTATTAAAATTAATGTACATATACATAAAATATCTAAAATACTTTTTCATTGAGTTTAATAATTAAAATACCATTTTTACTTCAATTTTACTTAACAGAAATAGATAAATAGTTTAGATTGAAAAAAAAATTAAATATTTAAATTTAAATTGACAAAATAAAAAATTTAAGACCTTGTTTGGCATATACTAAAAAAGTCAAAACGTTAAAAAGTCACTATCCTATTTAAGTCACATCATCTTGTTTAAGTCACATCACCTCTCTATCACATCACTTCAAACCCAACCTATATTCAACATATATTTCATAAAAATTCAAAAAATACATTTATTTAGTACATTCCAAACCACCCCAAAGATTTCTCTTGTTAAAGAGTCAAACCTTGAATTTTTATTTTTTTATTTTTATGATTTCCCCAATGACATTTATTAAGGATCAAAGTAAAATAAAAAAAATTAAAACTTTAATATACATTTTAATATTTTATTATATATTTAATAAATTTTTATTATGTTAATTAACCACTGCCTATTGAGGGTATTTAGATTTTTTTTTTCTTCTTTTTATAAGAATATTAACAAATTAGTAAATTATGAGTACTAAAAGTTGCTCTATATATAATCAAAATGTACAATCACTTGATTTAAATTCAAAAAACTTTTTCACAGAACTCGAAATGTAGAATCACTTCTTTTTTTTTAAACTCAAAGGTAAAATCACTTTTAAAGCTCAAGATTTCATTTTGCATGAGTTATTTTAATTAAATTAATTGATAAAAACAAAAACAGGTTAATTTAGTTAATAAAATAAAATATCATATTTATATCATAAT